AAAAAGAATATGCGATGTACATAATAAAATATAGAATTGTATCCATTTATTCAATTGCGGTAAGGTAATAATATTATACGAGTCTCAGTTACGACTAGCATAGAATATAATTTACATTTTCCTCTCTCTTAGAAACGAAGAATGTGAAAAGTGGTACTGTTACTTTTATCGTATTTTCCGCTTTAAAATTCAACTGTAAAATTTCTGCTCCCATTATTGAAGTTATACTTCTTTGGTGCATTTGAAAAATTACGAGGGTAAAATATTTACGATGCGGGTGCAAAATTCGACATGATGAAGTTCGTTGCAAAGCGATAATCTTCGATTAACTTCACGGTATTACCATGGCAACCAATATCAAGTTTTGAGATTTACCTACAACTCCAAGTTATTTAATGAAACCGTTATATATCCATAATCTTTTTACATACAAAAAGTAACTAATAACGCAGGAGATATTTTTTTTAGTTATTTATAATAAATAATATGAATTATTGGTTGGCAGTTATAGGGGAGGCCTATGTTCAGCAGAGGATTCAAACAGGCTGAAATAATGATGATGATGATAAATTATTTCATAGGAATAAAACAGATGCAAATTATTTTCTTTTTATGACTGTACCGCATCGTATGCAAAATAATTAAATACTTAAATTATATTACAATTGCCAATTTTTGAATCGAACAATTAAATTCATATTAAAAAGTTAAAAACTCACCATTGCATTAATAATTGATTTGTATGGTATTAAATATAATTTGAATTTAAGCCGGAAAGCATCTTTACTTGTACAATAACACGTAAGTATTTCATTTATATTAACATCACGTTCACATCCATCGTATTTTGAAGCGTTACAAAGTTTAACGATATTAATTAATCCATGTTGTATAAAATTTGAATGAAACGTCACGTATATCATTAATTAAAATTCCAGCACATCAGGATATTATTTATTATTATTATTAAGTAACAATTTTAATGTTTTCAACGTAGGACGGTCACGGCCATATTTGTTACCGAAGTATTTCAAGTGATAACAAAAAAATGACAACAAAGATTTGATGTTTTCATAATCATTGAGGCAACAAATCAAAGATATATAATTTATGCTATAGATAAAAGAGGATGCCGAAAGTATGTTCGCAATTTATTTTATAAGTTATTACAAATTCAATAAGTTCTTTCAGAAAAGCTTCTCATCTAAGTTCTACGGATACGTTATTCAAAGTATTGCATGTTGTAAATACCGTAATTATACCTTTTATTTTTCAATGGTAGTATTAAAATTAAACATTTTATATACATTAAAGCAATCTTGAAGCAGCTTAGAACTTTTGTTTATGAAACATAAAACCAAACATAATTGATGTACATTTTTTTAATTCCAGCCGTTAGTTAGCAGTATTTAATAATATCACCATAAGGCAATTCAGCATCATGATTGTGAGTCCTGATCAGGTGGAAAATAATAAAATGAGGAATTACCTAAGAAAGATCTAAGAAGCCTTAATTACGAATTATACAATATACGGGGCATAGAAATATTTTGAGACTATAGAAACCAGGTCAAATATATCCGACATTTCTGATAAAGCTAGGCCACCCCGCTAAAGTCACGCGTCCGCGTACCACGCATGACGTAGATATTATATGCTAATGACCGGTCGTTTGAGACGGTACCTACGTTAATATTTAGGCTGGTAGCTTGACGACAGGGGTGGAATTCAAGCGTATCTGAGGTATAAGATAAATAATGTAATGCCGCGTGTAGAACCTTTGAAATGATGGAATTGTATCTCCAGAGCTGCAGGGACGTATAAAATGGACAGATAATTTATATGCCTAAACAACTATTGGTGACAGATTTATGTTTATTTAAGTTTGCAAAATACCTTTGTTAGGGAAAAAATACTCAATCGATTACTTCGTAATGCCTGATTTTCTTTTTCTTGTCTTTTCTGTGGTATCAATTTGAGACGATGAAAGTGATGTGATTTTAATACAATGGAATATTCAAATGGATATAGTTAAAAATCCTTCCATAATACTTATATTTTTTACCGTTGTTTTACCAAGATGATTACAAATCAAACAGCATGTAAAAACTGGTTATCTGTTACAAACCAAAGTAATATTTCTTGCAGATGTGTTTTATATTTGCTATTTCGATAGAGAGAACGCTCGATATATCTAAAGTATATCAAAAAATCTCAACAATGTTATGTAGCTGGATAATAGAATAGGGAAGGCACGGCATGAGGTAAATTGGTTTCCGAGGACACATTGCATTAGATGAAATTGATACGTAGACCGTGTTATTTACGTTTAAGACCACATTTAGAACCCCTTCCATATGGTGTTTTCTTGATAAAAATGTGCGTTAAGTTAAAAAGTATTCATTACTTTTTTTTTAGTTTTGGAAAGGATATAGCTGAATACGTTCACTTGCATAGTAAAGAATTTCATGGGATTCATTCGAAAAGAAGACGAAAACATAATCCATAATTCATCTAATGTAAAAATTAATAGATGATGTTACTTTCTAATTTACGATTCTTTTTTTGGAAAACATCTAACATCTAACATAAAAGGATATACACAGAAATGAAACAAGTGAATCTGCTGATGTTTTAAATAGAAGTAAAATTTATTCTCCGTGTTTCAAAGATATACGCCTGAAAAAAGTTAAAAGTCCCCCAATCGTGTTGCTTAAAATATTAAACTGTAAAGTAAAAATAAAATATTGATTTAACCAATGGTAAGAGATCCAATGAGTACTAATGTTTTCAGCTTAAATTTCTTTACATAACCTTGATATAAATTGCTTTTCGCCAAGTTTATTACGAGTCATGGCTCCTTATCGAGATTTATCATCAGTCACCATGTAAGAAATAAAGGCCCAATCGTTGTACGTGAAAAATGTTAGAGTGGTTCGTATCATCCACGGCAGTAGTGGCCTTGGGTTTGGAGACGTCATAGTTAGTACCATGCACCAATGTGTTTTAATTTTCCGCATTTAACATTTTGTATGTACGTTTATTGCAAATGCAAGTCGTCACGTTTTCTAATTTCTCTGAAAAAGTCAGTACTTTGTTGCTCTCGTAAAATTTAAAACTAAAAACAGACGTTGCTCCATTATTGACGCAGGAAAAAGGTTAAAATCGGGAGAATGAAAACCTCTGAAGCTGCAAGACAACTATGTCAACTGGAACATGTATTAATCGAGAAACAATCCAACATTCTTTAACCGGCACACATTATTTTGATATTACCGTGGCCGTGTTGCCTGACGACGCGGGTTTTTTGCACTAGAGTCACGTACGTGGAGTTCGCGGTCCTTACATGACTGGGATGTCATATGCTAATGACAAGCCGTTTGAGACAGAGCTCGCATTAATATTTATGTCATTCCTTCATGACAGCACCCTTTAATGGCGTGTTTCGTATTTTCGAAATGTGTATGGATATCATTCGAAAGGATTAATATTGAATTTTATTCCAAATGGCTCTTACAGTTTTTTTTTTTCAAAAGTGTTCTCGTTTTCTAATATTTAAAAATTAACTATGCAAAAATAGGATTTTAACGATCTGAAGTACAGGTACAGGAAGTAAATAAATAGGTGAACTTTGTATGAAATTAATTAATTATTTATACTTAATTGTGGTAGGGCCACACAGCAGTCTCGGCTGTTGCACGAATGGGCAGGCTCGTCCGGGTAAGTACCACGACCTCACAGAAGACCGGTGTAAAGTGGAAGTATGATAATTTCTCGTTTTGTCTGGTGAGTGAGGTAGCTGGAGCCCAATTTTCATGACAGTTGCGTGTCCCTACCACAGTTTTTTTCATTAAACATTTAACGATTCGCCTTTTCATTGGGTTTAATGCCACGTTACCTACTATTCAATACGGGGCGTGAAGAGAAATTGTGTTTACACACAAAAAAGCACGGCAAAAGCAAATAAAGGTAACAATTAAATATAAAAATAAAGCTTATATTGTTTACTAAATGAGATGGTTACGGGTCAGTCTGGGACCATGAACACTGTAAAGGGTTCAAAACGTCGGGAATAAACGCGATAAATCCGTAAACAAAGTTTTCTAACAAAAATGTATTGGTAATTTGTTCTGCATATTTGCCAGCTTGGATAACATGGCAGCTGCTTACCTTGAGAACTTTTTTGATGTTGCCGAATCGTACTGATTTCCGTTTTCAGCATTTTGTAAAAAAATAAACAGTCTACCGTGCCAGTCTGTATTCGGTGATGGTTATGTAATTTTGTTGCTCATTTAAAATTCACAGATCATCTTAAGCTTTATTGTAAGGTGTTGTCTTCAGTAGTGCTCAATACTATTATTCAATAGGAGTTTATTGCTTGAATCTGTTTGATATATTATGTAGTTACTACAAAAAATCTTGTGTGATTTAAGTGTGGTTTACCTAATGTGCACGAGTATATATAACTGAACAAACAATTTCTGCGATGTTTAAATAACATTATAATTACATAAATATCATTAATTAAAGTTTAGACTAAATTACAAGACTTGTACAACACCAAGAACACTGTGAATTTAATTTTTTTTATTAATTAAATGCACCTGTACTGACGATTTGTATAATTAAATTAGAGTTGCTAGAAGTCTGCAATCAAAACAGTACACAAACATGATTTTATATTAAATGTTTGAAAACATTCCCGTCAATTTATAATATCAACGAAATTATTAACGATTTAAACAAAATTGACATTAAAATATACTGACATTGATAAATGAATGACAGTTATTTTTATGTCAGGTTTTGATTCATTTTCAAATTAATTAAATTAAATAATATGTTTATTGTAGTAATTATAAAATCATGTTGTAAAAGTATTCCATGTATTTAACGTTTTGTGTTTTCCTATGACTTACATCCATGACTAGATATTGAACATCAAATCGTATACCAAAATATATTTGATATTTTTTAACAAATAAACATTAGTTTCAAAAATGGCAGTGAGCGATGCCGCGACGGAAATTGAGAAAATGAAGATTTTGGAACAACGTATAAAGGCCCCATCGATTTGGGGTCGTGTTCCATGGGGCTTACGATTCGAGGACCTCCAAGACACGCGTTATGAAGACGCAGTTAAGTTGCTGAAGAAACATTATTTGAATGAAGAGGTATTTAATTAATTTTTTCTAAAAAAAGTATTGCTATTACGGTTGATATTCTTTCTAGTAGTACATGATACCATTTAATTTTTGAACCAACCTTTTGCTTTCCTAGATAACCTACAGGTCAGTTAAAATTTTACAAGATAAAGAAGGTACCGATGAATTTGTTCACAACGTTCGTATCTGGATGAAGGATAAAATGTCTATTGCAGCGGTCAAAGAAGGGACAGACAAATTAGTTGGCGTCCTTATTATGAGAATACAGGAAAAGAGTAAGTCAAGGTATATTATATTCAATTATGAATGAATGAATAAATGCATGAATATCAATATTCATATTAAGTTTCAACAAACTCAATTGTGTTAACAATTAAAAGAATATATAACTAAGGCATGAAACCAAATAGGTATGTGCTCGGTACGATTTACCGATTTTTAGTACATACCAAAATTTTAATTATGAATAACAAACTAGACTAAGATTAATATAAAGCGGGTACTTTAATTCTAAGGCAATAACACCATTACAAAAATTTATCGAATCCTGACAGTTCAGAGAAATTTTTCTCAACAATTTTTGTGTAAAAATCATTAATTCTTTAAGTTAGTTACAATTTATAATAAATTAAATTATTTTACAATTATTCCGAGATGGTGGGTTGGAATGTTAATGGGTGTGTTCCAAAGCGAAACTTCTATTTCGAATCTAATAATTATAAACGCCACTGTAAAGCAACGAGCCTACATTTTGTCATATACAGATTTCTTAAAACCTTTAAAAAAAATCAATATGGCATCTTTGACACAAACATGTTTTGAGTCTCTTGCATGTTAAACGTTGTAAAATTTGTTGCTTCCAATATTTCTACCCCTCCCCAGGCGCATTCTCTCGCACATTCAGCCGAGTAAAAATCACACACAACCCGCTTTACTCAAAGGTCATGACGTTTTACAACGAGGTCGAGAAACCAGTTAACTTGTTCGAGAAGTTGGGAGTCCGGCGATACCTAAAGCTATACATTATGGCTTTCAAATCCAGATACCGACATAGAGGTACGAGTAAATTAATTTTAACTGAGTATCCGCTGTAAATTATATTAAAATTAGACATGGAAAGACAATGTGAGTGTAATAAGTCTGAACCAACTTTCAGATTCAATAGGAAATTAAATAGTAATAAACCACTTGGATTTTTTCTTGTAATAAGCTATTCATCCAAAAGTTGCATATTTTATATTATAGGTCTCTCCAGGGACATGTTGAAAGCTGCTGTAGCTCTAGCGTATAGTGCTAATGTACCAGCAATTGCTGGTATCTTTACCACCTCGCGTGGACAAGCTGTCGCTGAAGAAATAGGCTTTGTCAAGTTTAATGAGATTTATTACGTTCGATACTTAATCGATGATCAGGTAATAAAATAATGAATAGTTTCCGATTCATTTGAACTATTTGGTTGAATTATTTATATACGTAGACCGATTGGACAAGCCCAATGAAATAATTATTACAGTATTCATTTATTTACATTGTTCACTATATACGTCAAGATATAAAAATGAATGGCATATGATTATTAAATATCATCTGGAAGCTAGGACCATCTAGAAGCTACATTTTGTTCGCCATACTGTATTTCATTACAGACTTAGAAATCCACAGCTATTTTAGTCATTGATGTTTGTCTATTGTGTATGTCTATTATGTATGCCTATAATGTATTCTCTAAAGTAACTCCCCCATGATTCTTAAAAAGAACTAAGAACCCCGTTTCTATGATATTTTCATTATTAAGTGCCATTTACTTTTAGATCGCATTCTTCGACACGGGGCTTGGGAACTACGGGGCAGCAATTATGGCGTATCGTATACCCGACGTTTATGAACCTCCAGAAGTACAATCGCAACGCTCTTCAAGGTTCAATTTGCAACCGATGCAAAATGAAGACGATGACTGAGCGATTATTAACTTCAACGTTTTATGAAAAATTATATAACACGATACGAATGAACATTAAATCTGTGTATCATTGAGAAAGATAGTAAGCATGTAGTTGTATTCAATGGAATAAAATCCTATGCCCATGTTTAATTCATTGACGTTAATGAATCTTACAAAGCCATATAGTTTTACCATTTCATTAACCTGGACTATCTTTAATGTTGAATATTCATTTATGAGATAAAAGCCATCGCGATAAAACTATATGGTTCAGCTCATCATCATTTAAATATTGTTACGTATTTGATGCACACCACCCGTAAGAAAATTGTGCTAGGTGTTCATAAAAATATGCTTGATATTATTTTTTTTCTTAACATGTATACAGATTAAAACTAGATGTGAAGTATAGGCAAGTTCTGTTCCTCATTTAAGGTGAGACAAAAGATTTATTTGTATTCTGTTTTGATTTTTTTCAAGCGACGACTTATCAGATTTTGTATGAATAATATCGGTGAAAAGCTGATAGCGATATGTATTTTTTTGGAATGTTATTCCTAAACACTGAGTACGAGAGTTGTAAACTGGTAGCTGTAAATCGGAGGCTGGGTACGGGAGTTGTAAATCGTGTGATCTCTCGTGCGGCTGGGATGTTAATTAATTGCAGGTTTAAGGCCATAGTTATGAAAATTTGCAAGCCAAAAAAACTGGTCAAACAAACCACCAGATATCACCCGAGCAGCCTCATCAATTACTCATCAAAGCTGTACGACCCAACAGCCCAAAGAACTATGTCTTCCCTAACAATCTCATTCCCCTAGAATATTTTGGCTTTACACATAATAATTCCTATTCCGAACAGAGCTACAAATATATTACTAAGTGAACTCCCTTCCTATATGTTGCCCTTTCCTCTATTCGCTACACGAGCGATACAGCAAGAGAACCCGTTCGCTGAGTCTTAGGCAAATAACGCTCGCCATACAAATAAAAATATTATATACAGGGTCGTGTTAGTTTTGGGCCCCCCAAAGGCGCAGAATTATGTTATACAAGGTTTGCGTTCCTCCCATAATGTATTAAGCTTTCATGTCTTTTGTAGACGTAACCTGCGTAGCGATCGCTAGTTCCCGACCCTACGCGATAACTTTAGAGAGCTGATTAAACGGTTCATCGATCGTGTTGAAAACCGTTCCAACACTTATAGCAAACGCAGCGAACTATCTACGCGTAATATAATATCGATAGTCGCATAAAAGCGACCGTTCACAAACATCACCCTAATCGTCGAGGAAAGACCGCGAAATTGAACGCCTCTCGATGTGCCAATGCCAAGAATTCCGATTGAATCTGTGGCAACAAGGGGAGTGCCTTCAAAAGAGGGAGTTACGACGAATGGTTTCCACTACGCGGTAAACGCGCAAAGCTGTGTCCTCATGGGATTTAATTGGACTAGATTCGTCATTCCCAATCCGATATTTTGCGTAACTAGACCTCGACTTCAGACATAAGTTTATTCCCACACTCGTCTACGTATTTCTGGTAAATATAGTGTCATCCGCGTAGCAAATCATTGATATGCAGCAGGAATAGCTTACTTTTATCATTTTGAGATACATTTCGACTAATAAAGAATTTTTACACTACTACTAAAAAAAAACGTAAATGCCAAAAGTTTTACGCCTAATTCGGAAACGATCCAGTGGCGCTTGTGCAAAATCAAAAGACTGAGAGCGGAAATAAAGTACAACAATGTCTGCGTACTACTTTATCTTGTTTCTTTTGTAAGCACCACATCTCTTCACGAAAGGCATCTTTAATTTGCTGCTTTGCTTCATCCTGAGAAGTTTTTAATTAAATTTCCGTTTCCAAAAATAAGGCATTTAAATCTACAAATAGGCAACGACGTAACGGTGTCTAAAAATCATTAAAACTGGTAACAAGAAACAGCGAAAACATTTTGGTGTTATGGAAATACTTTATTGTTTTAATTTTATCTTTTTCTAATTCACCGACATTCTTAAACGATTACTGACCTTTTTTTTTGGGCTGGATGAGCCACTGTTGGCCTTAGGGGCCTTTACAGTTCCGACGGACTTGAGGTGGCCTGGCGCACGAGGCGCCTAGCCTGAACCTCTGCGTATTATTATTACGCGTTATGGTGACTAAGCTCGAGGGCTCCCGGGGGAGCCTCGGCTCTGGGCCATCACGCTATTATTATCACCGGTTTGTGAGGCCGCCAAGCTCTTAGGGCGCTTTGGCGGGCGCTCCATGGAGTGATCAGGCTCAAGGGTCCCGAGAGGGGACCTCGGCTTGGGCTGTCACTCAGCACGCGTTTAGCATTCCGATTCGAGGGTGCCCGAGAGGGCCGGACCTCGGCTCGATCGGTAGCTATTATCTGACTGGGGGATTACTGACCTTTATTTTCTTTTTATTATATACGTCTTAATGCCATAATGATATTATTTCTTGTATTGACTGCTATCGTGTGCATGTATAGAAATACCTACTTATAACATTTTACCATAAAAGTTGAGAAATTAGTATCCATAGATAAGTTTTCGTTTCATTGGATTGAATGGCATGAGTACACATATATAATTTATCTCTCATATATACAAACATAAACATATGTACTACATACATCGATATTACTCAAAATATTAACAATCTGCACTTGATATCAGAAAAGTTGTCAAGCGTGTATAAGCTCACCTGATATCAAGTGATTACCACCCCCCGAGCATCTAAACTTCCACAAAAGTATAAACTTCCACTTCAAGCCAGTCTTATGTGAGGCCGTGGTATTTTCCCGGACGATCGTGCCCATTCTTTTAACATTTCACAAATATGCACAAGTACAGTTTCTTATTCTTTAGATAGAAGTACTTTTTATTGAATTGGTTTGTCCATTCATGTACCTTACGGACTTTAATAACTAAAATTTAACTTCTTATTTGTGAAAGTATTAAGTCTGTTACTAGAATTTTTTTGTGTTTTTGTATTGCATATTTTTGTTATGATATAAGATTTAAGTATCTTTTAATAATACCGCATCAATGAGGTAGGTTGGTAGGGTAAATTACTAAATTGTAAAGTAATAAACTGAAAATACTTACTAACGACTGAGAGAGCATTAACATTAATCTGGGTTACGTATTCAACAAAACGCCATATATTATATAATTATATCCCCATCATATTAAAATCTATGCCGATATTTGTCACATTCTCTTCCATAGTCTTCCTTATGTATTGGCATCATAGAAATATTTTATTACTCGCTTTTGCCAGCAACTTAAATCATAATTCAAATTTATCAAGCATTTATTATTACCTCTATTCTTATTCTTTTTAGCTGTTTATTCGTGAAAATAAGTAAAACAATCTCCATTTACGATATGAATGCGATAAGAAAACGATTAAATTATTTGTTATTTACTATTAGATTATTTTATTTAACGGTGAAAGAGCCACGCAGCAGCCTCGGCTGTTGCGCGAATGGGCAGGCTCGTCCGGGTAAGTACCACGACCTCACAGAAGACCGGCGTAAAGTGAAAGTATGACAAATACTTTCGCGTTTCGTCTGGTGAGTAAGATAGCCGGAGCCCAATTTCCAAAAAGGTTGTCAACGCATCTGCAAACCTTCGGGTGTAGCAGATATCTATGGGCGGTGGTATTCACTTAACATCAGGCGAACCGTCTGCTCGTTTGGCAACTTTTCACTTCTTCTTCTTTTGTTGTGGATGTAACGTTTAATGAAATAAGCAAAGAATTATTAAGTTTTAAATTTGAATTTGAATAAAATGGACATAAGTTCCTTTAAGTATCGTCCCAAATATCGTTTACATACGCCTTTCCTACACATGCACTTGTGAATTTTATAAAACCTAAAACATATAACCATAATGCTGAGGTTGCGAATAGACAAGTGTCAATCCATGCTATTTAAGAAGAAAAATTATTATTTATCGCCCAATGTACATGTTAGCTATCATACTTATACTTTTTTCATTTCTTGTAACAAGATCTTGGTAAAGCTTGTATTATAAAATAAACAATATTGTAAAATAAACTTCAGCTGTTTAAGTTATTTTATAAATTACGAATACATCCATATTTTTTTAGAATAAACACGACACGCGAGGAAAGCAAGAACTCAAGCAATCAAACAGAAATGACAAACAAAATATGAGCAGAGAGAATGTAATCTACTACGTACTAAAATTATGATATGAGTACAGACGCTTGGTTTTGGACAAATTGAGTATAGTAAAGGACTCACAGCCTTTTAAGCACCGCACACGTAATTTTATGACTAGTAACTTAAAATAGTTTCGACATTAATTCTTCAAAATAAAAAAAAATTATACTGGGAAATGAGAAAGAGTAGCGATAGAGTTAGACTCATATAAACTTTTTTTCAAAATATTTAACTGTGCATGAAATTATATAAATTTATATTTAAGTTACATTATTGCATATACAGAGGTCGTTTTCGACTTTGTCCTATATAAGGCGTTTTATATAATATATGTACTAGTTGATCCGTCAATTTTTTGCACGTGTTTTGAACTTAATTGTAAAATAATAACGTGGAAGTAAGTAATAAATGAAAAACATTTATTTATTTCAAGAAACACTGAAAGACATATCTTAATTTTAAAATCTTTATTACTTTTTAGAATTGTTTTTGTACAAAATTTAAAGAATAAAATGGGGTCTCTCTAAGATTTGTACTTCTTTAGTATAGTCCTAATTTACTTTTGTGCCCTTATTGGTCGGACTAGATTAATAGAGAGTGCCTTCCACTTTGTGCCTCTTTTCAAGTTTTTCATCGAAAGCATTAAATATTTTCAACTCGAGTAATAATAAAATACGAGGAATAATATAATCGTCAAAGGGAATCTTTGTATTCAAAATGACATCTCATTACTCGTAATTAATTTCGCTGAAGTTTTTAAGCAGATTTGACTTAACTTATGTTCGTTTTACCATCACACCATTTCCTGG